ATTTGTCGGCCATGATGTATAAATTGACTGCCATGGATATCTCGGGTGGTAGTTGGCTTTTGAGTGATGCATCAACCGGCTCTGACTCAGATTCTGCCGTCTGTACTGTCGGCGCTGCATGCGACAACCTATTTGAACGTCTGATAGTGCGTACTGGCAAAGACGGAGGAGGAACTTTATCCACAAACGCGTCGACAACAGGGGCTTCAGGTAGAGAACAATCACTTGGAATAGGGCATCGCGGGTGACCATCGAGTCTGTCTTGGAGCTCCTTGGCTATTCGGGCAGTGTCTTTCGGTGGACTGTTTCCAACGGTGTAGGTTCCTGTGTAGAGAAATTCGAGGAAGCGTTGGAAAACCTCGGGGTCGTCGTCTTTGCGGCTTGAGATCTTAATAGTGCGCTTCTAGAATCACCTGTCAGTAGAAGCTCACGCAGTGTAGTGCTTCACTGCATGCTACCTTAGCTATAGCAGCAAATTCCTTCTCAAACCATGGACACTGCGAACAGACGACAGCGCGGTGAGCCTTGAACTCGCGACCTCCGCATTCGATTACGATATCGTGGTATTTCTCGCTCAGAAAGAGTTTCGAGAACGAAGCATGGACTGACGCAGCGCACAGGTCGTTCACGGATTTCTCGTCGTCACCTGGATCTATGAACTGCCTCAACGCTGCATCTGAACTGTCAAGCAATACAGGCACTGCTTGAGCAGCATCCGTCATCTCGGTATCCTGCGTCATATTGATGTCGGGGATAGGTGCAGAAAGGCGATGTTTTGAGTAAATAGTAGAGAGCGAAAGATGCTGATTAGGTAGTCCGGAAAGTGCAAATATGGTTGCAAATCTCGCAAATGTTTCCTGGTGGTTACGATGGAAACAAAGGCTTAGAGCATGTGCCTGAGTTTGGCTAAAAGGTGGGAAGCGTGAGCAAACAGAGCAGGCAGGTGGCAGCCAGAGTAAGAGTAGAGCAGCTCATTAGTAGAAGCAGATACCCGCTTCGCAATCATAAATAATATTGTTTGGGTAAATTACGCAGTAGGTGGGAAACCAGGTTTATCAGGTTTCTTCGCATCTCCTTATATGCTGATGCACATTTCCGGCAGTGGCCTGCAGTGTCTTGCAAACATCACCACCGCCAGGCACGGATAGTATGTATTCCGGCTTGACAACAGTCTCCAGCGCTCACTTCTTGATTGTAATTAGTTCTCGACTGTCATTCAGAAATGTGATTATTGCAAAGTCATTGCCATCTCGCCAAGCCAATGCCAGAAGCTTCCCAACACTCAACACACACATCCAACTCCCAACAGCGCAGCGCAAAGCGACCACCAGTACAATATTAAGAACAGCCGAGGCGCAATCATCAGATTCCTACGCAGACGCAAAGAATATTGCCTGCCTAGCATACGTCTTAATCCCTTCTCGAGCCAGGTCCTCATCCTCGACACGATCTATCTTCCACTTCTCAGGCCACTGCCTTCCCAGCACATCAGCCGCAGCCATCGACCACTTCTCCCAGAACACCTCCATCTCCACGCTCCAATACCACGTCGCCCAGAAACCCACCGCCGACAGGAAAAGAGCCACGAAACACGGCGCCAGGACAGCGGGTTCCGGCCATCGCGTGATGATGAAGTACAGCGCCGTTCCTGCTCCGCCAGCCCAGAGTCCGAAATGTACGAGAAACATGAGCGTGAAGAGGATCGAGATGTATATGACGATGGCTGTGCAGATTAAGATGAAGATTAAGAGAAACTTAGCGATGGCACGGTTGCTGACTGAGTTGAAACGGCGGGATGCATAGCGGGTTGGGGGCGTAAAGCGGTTCAGCATCGTTACACGGGCTCCCATCGCATAGAGCCTGACTGACGGTGATCTAACGAAGCTGCGTATGAGATATGTTACGAAAAAGACTATGCCTAGCGACAGACCCCACGTCCACATCTTGGGTGGCGATTCGGTGAATTCTACGACTTGCATGGAAAAGATGGCCGTGATGAACGACAACGGAATGAAGAAGAAGGCGAGCTCGGTCAACTTATTGATACCGGACGTTTGATCGATGACGAGTGCGGATTGTGCGATACCAGTTGAGGAGACGAGGAGATTGAGAGCCTGTTCAGAGCGCGATTGGAGGGACTGTAGATCATTCCTGAGCTCTAGCATTTCGTCCTCCAACCCTTCGGGCAAATTGAGAATGCACCTGGACTTGTTGATATGATCGATCCACTCGCTCAACTCCTGCAATGTCGAGCGAATCCAAGCTACATTTTGCCTTGCCATAGTCCCAGCGGTCTCAAGCAAGTGGTTGTGTAAATCGGCACCAAGATCTGCATCGATATGGTCCTGCATCAACCGGAGCTCGGCAAGGAGTTGCCAGACGTCATCGAAAGAGAGACGTGTGAGAAGAGCTGGAATGATGGAATCATCCTGGCATAGCTCATTGGTGGGGATCTTGCTGATGTATCGACACACAAGGTCCATCGTGGATAAAGAGTACTTGCGCGCGAAGTCACGGTCGCGCATGTAGAATTGGCGAGATTTGTATGCGGTTCGGAGTTTGTTTTGATACTCTTCGTCGAACTCGGAATCACTGGAGTAAACAGAGTCGGTGTCGTTCCCCTTCTCCTCTGCGTTATCAGAAGTTAGTTTTCCCTCTGCCTTGTTCTTCCTCTCCTGTACTCGTTTTCTTCTTGCTTCTTTCTTTTCCTTCTTCAACTGCTCTTTTGTGAATGGCGGTGCGGGTGGATCAAGGTATGTCTCATCCGGGTCGGCAACCCGCCAGAGCTCTTCATCTGTATATGACTCAAACTCCATAGCTCTAGGCATGAATGTCAGGGAAGGGGTCTTCTCTTTCGTCTTATCATGCTGCATAGTTCTTTGCGGGTCAAAAACAAGAATGACTGCGGATGTTAGTTCGCAATCTATAGCCTCGCCGTGTCTCTGGGTAGATACTGACTGGTTTTCCTGCCCTTCTGGTCTACACTGGACCAGTAGCCTAGACCCTCCGGGGCCATTACTCTGAGGTCTCTGTTATGCCAGTATGTTGGGCACTGCGGAAGCACGGGGTGGAATGTGCTGTAAGGGCGGTACACGTTAGATGTTTTGTTCCGAGTTGAGGTGCCTTCGATCTCCTGATCACGATGATCAGATGATTGGGGAACGTCAAATATCTCTCTAACCTTCTTTTTGGCCTTCTCCTCTTTCTTCTTCCTTTCTTTCATCTTAATTTCCGCCCGCTTCTTTCTCTTATCGGTCATGAGTAAACCGTATTTATCCAGGACGACGTCTCGCTCAATTGTCCAACGTCCATCAGAGATGCGCTTGGCGATCTCATCCTCATGAAAGCCTTTCCGACCCAGATAGTGAAGGAGACCAAGACGGCCCCAGCGAAGATGAGCCCATGTCCGGGACTTCGTCCGACGAGATAGGTTCCATTCAGTTCGCTGTCCTATCCCAGGGAGAGGACGATGGCGAAACCGCGTTTCTTGCTCGGCCCAGTTCATCCATGCTGCGTTCCTCAACTTGAGTCCGCTGTCGCTGGCGCAGTACCCTGATGCAATGAGCTGTTCGTACCAGAACTCGGGATCTACCGAGTACAACTGTCCCAGGACCCCCATAACGAAACGACTCAGATCACTGACCATGATCACACGCACCTGGGAGCTTTCAGGTCGCGTGTCGAGGGCAGCTGCAAGGCCCTTCTTGGTGGTGATAAGCTCACTTCGCTCGACTTCGTCATTTGCGAAATAGTCAACAGTCGAGATAGTGACAGATTCCAGTCCCTCGAAGCGTTCTCGCCGAGTTACGTTCAGCCACCGCGGATCCCATCGCGCTCGGTTATCCAGGTCATTCATATACAACTCGGACATTGTCTCTATCCAGAGTTTGAGATTGGAGAACTCTTCTTTATCGGCATACTCCTCAGCTATGCCTCGTGGAATACCTTTCGCAAAAGTATCCAAGTCGCGCTTGCTCCTTCCAAAGGATAGTGGATGAGGCAAGTTGCGAGGTCTTTCGGGAGATGCGGTCCCTTTGTCTGATCCAAACGACACCTGTGAGGCATTATGTTCGTCCAGCGAGTTACGCGGGACAGAGTAATAGGGCATCCATCGTTGTGAGATGGGCGACTCAAGATCGAAACCGCTGAGGCGTTCCTCATCCTTGGGGCCGTCACGCTTTCGTTTGAACATGATGAATAATGGCGCATCAATATCGTGTTGATGTTAGAATCAGCCTTATCAGGAACCGCCCCCGAAATTAGGCTGAGAACGATGCAGCTGCAACCCTGATCGTTCTGGGCTGGGCCGGGGGTGACATCTCGTATCTGTGGCAAGTAAAAATGGGATCATTGTGATTAATCTAGCAGCATAATCAGCTGCTGATGACGGGTGTTGTCTTCTGTCGCATGCATTTGGTGGCTTCAAAAGCATTGACTGAGTTGGCATTCCTTGAGTTGAGGTATAACGGAAGTCAATTGATTGGGGCCTCTCCTGCCTACATGAGCGATAAGCGAGTTAATCCCAGCTATCTCCCTGAAAGGAGCCCCATTGTTTCTCGTGCATTTGTAAACTTGCAATGACAACCCAGAGGTAACAAGTGAGCTCATCACCTTAACACTTTGTCGCTTGGCATCCTTGCAGCTTGCGGCAGTTTCTTATGTGGTGACTAATGAAGAGTAACGGGTGAGTTTATTAGCACATATTGGGAAAACGGTCGATTTAAGGTGGGCTGGGATGCTAATAACGAGGTAAACTTAGGGAGGGGACTGTTGGATAGTATAACATCTTGTCAAACTTTCATAAATCGAGACTCTGACGGCTCGTGAAGTAAATTATGCTATAATTATTTCGCTTTATGACACCATAAGACGTGAAAGTGGCAACCTACTGGTTGACAGGTTCATGAGCGTTAAGAAATAAGTAAGAAGTCCGAGACCTCAGTAGCCACATAGCAAGTATATAGGACAAAATCTGTCACATTCTCACATCAATTAATCTCGGCTCTATGGTCTAGTCGTATGATTCTCGCTTTGGGTTACCAACTTGCGAGAGGTCCCGGGTTCAATTCCCGGTGGAGCCCAGAATTTCTCTTTTTGCTTTTTTGTCTTGTTGCCATCATCAGCTGTTGTATGTACGTATTGTTGTTGTTTTGGCGAACGGACTTGATTACAGTACAAGCTCAGGGTTGCTCCACACTTTCAGCCCAGCTTGGGAGGATCATCTGATTCGCCGGGCGTGGGGCCGCGGTGGGGTCTTCCGCTCCTCATCTTGGTTAATCTTGTGATTTGAAGCTCGAGTTCGGAGGCTTTCTTCTTATTCTAGATGGATCACATAAACAATAAATGGAATTAGGGAGTTTAGTTAAACCGGCCAGCGTTTGGTACCTTGCCAGCCAATATAATTTTTCACAGTAGTCCTTGGCTATCAATGCCGGTCGATAGCTTTCTGCTCCAACTTACCTCTTATATTCCAGACTCCCAGTTGAGAACCTGTAACTTCCTACCATCTCATTAAAAAACTACCAAACGGCACTCAACCCAAATACCATCGAAACGATCATGGCCTTTTATTTAAATAATAATAAAAGAACGTATCTTATCTATTCATCAATCCTAAATACTTCCCCACGGACTTCGCAGTGCTTATGGCTACTCTGGAGCTCCGATCGCACTTGTTCGAGGTGCAGGGTAGCGTCAATTCGATCAAGCGCTTGTTATTGAAGACTCTCGGCAGCTCACTGAAGACCAAAGTTATAATAACTACAAAATGCCTTGCAAGTATAACTTAATAACTCCCTCACCCCCCTGAATTCCTAACATAAGACCTACTCCAACAGCAATATCCTTCGTCGTGAATAAAGCACGCCATACCAAGACCCAAACTCGGATAAACTAAGCACCCGCCATTTCAATCTCCCTACCCTTAACACTCCTCCACTCAACCAACAGCGCACCAATGATGGTCGCCGATGCGGTCCCAGCGCCAACATAGAAGCTCGTCGTCAGCGCGTCGTTGTACGCGAGAATCACCCCGTCAAGCCACTCAGCCCTGATGACGTTGCGGATGTTCGTCGCGCCCGTGGCAATTACAAAGTACGGATCGAGTCCCGGCACATGCTCGTGGATCTTGTTGATGAGCGTGTTGGTGAAGACGGTGTTGCCCGCCGTCACGCAGAGTGCGCCTCCGAGGGTTTGGGAGAAGACGATGAGCGCTGTGGCCGTGGGGACGTCGACCATTTCGCACACTACTTGCACGGCAATGAGGGATTGCTGGAGTCCGATGCCTACGCCTATGCCGGCGATGAGCTGGTAGCCTACCCATTTGGCTGTTGATGTCTCTACTTCAAAGGTGGTGATGATGCCGAAGCCGATCGCCATGAGGATTGAGCCGGCGATCATGAAGGGCGTGTAATAGCCCCAGGTAGTAACGGCTGCACCAGCTGCCATGGCAAAGAGGACGATGCCAAGAAGCATGGGGAGGTTCCTGACGCCAGACATGATGGGGCTCTGTCCCTGCACGGCTTGGAACCAGATGGGCAAGAAATACATTGCAGTGAGGAAACACGCGCCCGTGTTGAATGAGAAGAAGGCGCCAGCCCAGACAGAGCGCATCTTGGCGATACGAGGAGGCACCGTCGCATTCTCGTCCATCTTGATTTGCACAAACACAAACAAGATGAGCAGGAAGGCTGACAGCATGAACAAGGACGTGATGGTTGAGTCATCCCACTCGTAGTCAACGCCGCCCCATTGCAGAGCAAGCAGAAGACAAACAATGGCAGGCATGAAGATAGCGGTCCCGATGGGATCGAGCTGCCAGAAGCGCACTCGCCATGTTGCAGGCTCGATATCGCGCTCAGGCTCAGGGAAGAAGAAGAGAATGACAATTACGGTGATAGCACCGATGGGGAGGTTGATGTAGAAGCACCATCGCCAGGTTACCTTGTCTGTGAAGAGACCACCAAGCAAAGGCCCTGCGACGGAAGAAATTCCCCACATACCGCTGACGAGACCAGTATAGATAGGTCTCCTGTGAAGAGGCACCGAGAAGGCAAGGATGGTGAGTGCTCCGGCAAAGATGCCAGCGCCACCGACGCCGGCGATGGCTCGTCCCACGATAAGCGTGACACTATCAGGAGCGACACCGCATATGAGACTACCCACCTCAAAGATGGCGATGGCTGTTAGGAACGTCCACTTGATGCTCCCGTAGGTATACAGCTTGCCAAAGAACAGCTGCAGTGCGGCCGTTGTAAGCATGTATGCCGACCCGTACCACCCCACGTCATTGAGACTTTCGAAGGCATCGGTGATTCTCGGAATTGCGGTTGCAATGATGGAGTTGTCTGTGACCTATGAGTCGTAGTTCAGTAATCAAGATGGTGTACTAACCCAGCGCCATGACAAAGACCGCCAGACAGAGGGCTAGAGTGATCAAGGCGAGCTTCAAACCAGTAGGATACTCTTGTTGAGCCCCATTCTCCGCTCCGCTCGCGGGAGGTGACTGAAGCTTCTCAGTGCTCTCTGTCGGTACAGCAGACCTTGGCCTGATATCGTTATACCGCACGGATCCCATCACCGGATGAGGAGCCTCCTTGCGGTGGTACTCTGGCATATTGTAGTCTGCAGGCAAAGACCGAACACTGAAGTTGCTAGGAGCGATTGACGACGGCCGACTTATACCGTTGCCGTCCTTTGACTCGTTGGAGCCTGAGCCACCAGGATGCGAGGCGAGCCAGTCGTCAGCATCTCTGGCGAGCTTGGCCGTCTCTGAGTCGAAGTTGAAGTAACGGGATGACTCTCTCAGTGATGAGTAGAGGGAGTCCTTGGGAAGACGAACACTGAGCGAACGACTGGTCGCAGCCATAGAATAATCTGGGGCGGACATAATAGAAGCCATCTTGAAAGGTGTGCTGTTCTGACAGGTATGAGTTTTGGGAGCGGAACTGAGGGATACCAGAGACCAGTCAAGAACCCTTCCTGCCGGGAAAACACGCCTTTAAGCTTGATCTTGACCTCATCCGTCACTGCTGCAATGAAGCCAGCCTGCAGCGGAATGTGACACGACGGAATCTTTCCAAGAAGTTCATGCTAAGTCGATGATGAACATCCCGTCTCACCTCGGGGGCCAAAGCCAAACCCACAAGAAAAATAAGAAAACAACTTCTCACAAAAGATCTTCACCTGCAGTTGTGGCCTGCCTTGCCAGAGCACAAGGTGTGGCATCCCGCACATAGCTGCATGGGGGCTTGTCATGACTTTAGCGGCATCATCCAAAGAAAGGGTGCTACGATAAGACTTTGTGGCCAATATCTCTCCAGGTCAGAAGCTGCGGCCTCAGCGGAGACCGGAAGCCGTCGGGGGCTTGAGGATGCTTCGGATCCTTCTATAAGCTTCAGTGACTGCCACAGATTCTGTTATCTCAGCCGCTTTGGCCGCCAGTAAGCTCGTAAACATTTCTCTGTAACTTGAAGTGGTGACTGAATATCTGGGCGGGATGATTGATTCCCTCCAAGATCTAGTAACTGGTGTCTAGAGACCATACACTCTCATTGTTGAGCGCAAGCTTGATTCCCGGCTTTAGCGAGTTCGCATATGGTCACGGCCGACAGGAAGCCATGCATGCGGATCGTATCTACTTCGGCAGTCAATCTTGTTATCGGTAGGCGCAAATCGCTACACGATATAAGCAAGAGGCTTGAGGAGGAGAAGCTGTGTCACCATGTTAGGCCAGTTTGAGCTATTTAGAAGAGAATGATGATGGTCAGAACGGTCCCTACTTTTGAGGTTTCGCAGCATGGCGGACTTTAAGGCAAAACCGAGACCGAATGCCATGTCAGGCCTTCGACGTACAGTTTCCTTGGTCGATCAACTTGAGCACCGGAGGACGGGGCTCATAATACCGATCCTCTAATCTTCATTGGGGGTGAGTCGAAATGACGAGAATCGGTCGTACAGTTGTCGCACAAGGCGTCGAGAAGATGCTAGTAGCCTACTACTCTAGGTGTAGTTGCTTTAACATCAGGCATCAGTATACGGAAGTCCGGAAGCTTCGCGAAGGCTTATGAATCATGAGTTCGTATTGACAAAGTCCTGGTGTAGGCCACAAACTATGCTTTGCTCCAGCATCAAGGAACAAGTTGATATGGGTGAACTGAACAAGCAAGTATGGATGTATGTTACTTCAATGTATGACAAGAGACAGCAGAAACGCACAGTACAGAAGGCCCACATATCCCTAATCCATTCAATCATCAAGATGACAGGTCCAAGCAAGAGGCTAGTATAGCCAGTACGTATGCATCGAACACAGGATACGTATGTGGTATTCAGATAATATCCCCCGGCATGCTTATCAATTCGAAACGGCTGTAGTCCAGTCGAGTATCTGGTTCTCTATGTTCTTGATCTCCTTCGAGAGTTTCTGCAGGTGCTGGGGTATTAGGACGAAGCCGTTTTTCTGCCCTCTCAACAGTATCTGAATTGAAAGACCCTTGTGAGCTTGTCTGAGCCGGCGCACCGAAAAGAAGTCGTGTAGGATTATCCCCAGGACTTCGGCCGAGCTCGACCGATCGATGGATTGCCCGCCTCTGTGGTTGAGGTTGGACAAAAGGCATAGGGACACTACCGTTAGATGGAGTGTACAACTGCTGCAAGAACGTTTGCTGCGTCAAAGGGTCCGACCCAAATAATCTGTCAGCGAGCCCGGGAGAAGCTGGCCATGTTGGAACTTGGTCAGACTTCTCTTCGAAGACTTGCACCTGTGGTGTTGACATATGCGGTGACAAATCTTCAGTTTGTGGAGGAATTGTATTAGCCCAGGGCGACATTTGAACATTGAGTACTTCGGGCTGAGAGTTCAAACTTGTGGAGAACCCTGTAGTCCTAAGATATGTATTCTCATGTTCTGAAGCGACATAGCCTTGAAACGTAAATGGTGACTGGAGCATGGCTATCTGGTCGTTGATGTCAAAGTTGCTATTGGCTTGCGGTGTGGTAATAGATGTCTGCTGCCGCTGCCACATGGCTGGGTTGGGCCATGCAATCTTCAGGCGTTCGAGAATCTCTGCACCATATTAGT